AAATTAATTACTAAATATAACATTGCTGATTGTCATTAAATTTTAAGTATTGTGCGAACACAATGACCTTTTTACTGCTTTTTCATTACCTTGCACAAATTCATTTCATATTTTAAATTAATTTGTGCAACAAAATAATTTTTCTAAATTTATTTCAATTTCAATTTCATACAATTTCTGACTTTTTATTTATTTTTAACCTGAAATAGCCAAAATTTGTTTTAAAAAAAAGCTAAGTTTTGATCTATTAGCTCATCAAATTAAAACTTCTTTAAGAGCAAACTTTGTGTTTTAATTTGTAATTAAATTTAAAATGAAAGAATGGAAGTGAATAAAAATTATTATATTATGAGTTAGTTACTCAAGTAGCATCTATCATCAGATGAAAATGTTCAGATGATTAGGATCAAAGGATGCCGATTCAGTAGTATTTAATTAATGAGCAACACCATTCTTTTTCCTTTTTTTTTCAAGCAGGCGGAAATTTAACCAAGCGGAAATCAAATGACAGAAACAATTGATCGCTTGCTTGAAACATCAGAATTTCAGGCCAAGAAGAAATATTATTAAGTTTCAAAATTTTAAGCCAGGAAAGAAAAGAAAAAATGATACGTTCTTAATTTAAATCTTAGCATAAATGCTTACAATGAAGTAGTTATTAATTTTAAATTAATTAACTATTCCGTATTTCCTAGCAGAAAATATGATCTCATTTTTACGTTGTTTCTCTTTTCAAAAAAAGAAACATTTAATTTATGCGATTACACGCTTACACAATGTTATTTTAATTATTACCATACAATAATATTTTATTGCCACAAAATTAAAATCACAATAAAAATATTTTTCAACATATTATCCGTTATCAAAGGTAAAATAGAATCAAAATTTATTCATCATATAATTATAATATCATAAATAACAGTGTTCCAATTAATTACCACTAATAATAGTAAAATTCCATTCATATTTTATACATACAATTATCCCTGATAATTACTCATCCATCTGTTTATTTCATTCAAAATTAAACTTTAATATCATTTATGGTGAGAAATATTTATTTAAACGAAATGAAAATTATTTTTCTTCTTTATTATTATCATTAAATTATTGCTAAAAAAAAAAAAAGCTATAAAATTATCGCGAAACATTGTTAAGAAAAAATTGTTCTTCATCATTTGAATATTATTTTATTTGCTAATTGAAATTTGTTGAGTAACAATCGATATATCATATCATTTATTCTTTTCATCTATCCATTTCCCGTCAAATTTCGAGACCTATTCACCACTCTTTCATCTCTCTTTTCACCTCTCCACCGAATATCCCCCGCCTATCTTCCTATCCCTCAATTCATATTCCATATAGTTTTGACTAATTACAGGGTCAGATGTTAAATAGAACACACAATACCCAATCATTATATCTCTTTGTAATTATCTTTCATTCTCTTCGAGACCATACATTCTCATTTATGGTAGGAGAAAAATTGCATGAAACAAATTATCTACAATTATTTGCAATCTTTTTATGCTTATATGAGAAAAGAAAAAAAAAATGCTTGAATGGTTTTCCTAAAATTTCATTAGTTTGCTTACTGTAGGAGAAAAATTGTATCACATTTAGTGCTTATTGTATGTTTCCAGCAAACAATGAGTTTCAACTGTTTAAAGAAATTATTAATTAGTTTTTTTCCAAACAAAATTTTAAACATTTTTAGGCTAAATTTTACGAGGACTATATTTTTATTTTATGAAATGATTTTACATGAAAAATGTGAACAAATAATGGTGAAAAAAAAAAGGAAAGAATGAAATTTTTTAAAAACAAGTTAAAAAATTTGATAAATGGAAAATTAGGTGTAAATTTTAATTTTTTGATTAAAATTTCAAAATCTGATTTTATCTCAAAATTTTCCCCCGAAAACATCCAAGCATTCATTTTTTTTTTTTGAAATAATTTTTTTAATGCGTACTATATGTTTCCAATAAATAATGAGCTTCAAATATTTAAACAAATTATTAATTAGTTGTTTCCAGACAAAATTTCAAACATTTTTAGGTTAATTTTTAAACTATTTTTTTCATCAAAAAAGGATTGCAACACTTAAAGGTTGAAATTTTTCTTGAAAATATTTTATTGTTAATAAAAAAACATATTCTTTAAATAATTAATTAAAAAATAAATTGCGATGGTTTTTATTTTTTAGCATAGAATTTTTTAAACTTCCATTTAAAATAATAAACAAGTTTTACTTGGATAGTATAGTAATTCTCATCCACAATTTTTAGACAGCTATTTTGTTCTCTTAATCATGAATGAGTCAAAGGTCAAATGGGCAATTGCGATTATGGTAGATAATGACAGTTACAGCTAACTGAAAATCAACATAAATTACGATCTCATTATATTTCTTTACCAGCACAACCCTTAAAACTTCATTTCATTTCATTAGTTTCTTACTGCCCTCAAATTTCTTTCATAAGCATTTATTACAAAATATATTAATTGATTTGAAATTCAATCAAAAAAAGTATTCCTTAATGTTATACAACAATAAACAACAAAAAAAAACAGTACAGTAATCCAATATAGATAATTTTGACAAATATTATTAAAATTTCCAAACAATTGGGCCGGAAAACTTCACTAACGAAATAAAAAATTATTATTGAAAAAAGAGAGAAGCGAATTCTAAAATTTTTCAATAAATTCAAATTTTTTTTGAAAATGATAAATCTCCTTTATTTTTGAAAATGATAAGCTTCCTTTATTTTTGGTAGAATAAAATTGGAAGAAAGAAAAATATTGTGTAAAAAAATTGAAAAGTATAAGAACATGTGAAGAAAAGTATTGAAAGAAATAAATAAAAGCAAAATTATCGCTAATAATGAAATTTGAATCGAAATAGTTCGTAATTATTATTTTTGCAAATTTTCAAATTATTTATAAAATCAAATCATCCAAAAAAAGATTATGATTTCAATTTTAAAAAATGCATATTAATTTCTGCATTATTCTATTATTTTGTTAAGAACAATCGTTTATTAAAAATTTTATGATTTTCGAATAAATATTTTTTTTACCTTTAATCTGTTGAAAAATTTCATCTTTCACATTATTCAAAAGATTTTCAAACAAATAATTCCTATAATTTCAACAAATAATACAATTTTGTAAAAAAAACGTTTCTTGAAACTTTCAAGAAATCACTGTTAGTATTTTTTGTCACAATGTTCTCTCAATCATGCTTACTTTCAATCACTTACGCTTATTACTTGCCCATTTTAGGAGTATTTTAATATTCTTTTTTAAAAAAAAAATTGATTCCTTTTTCTTTTTCAAAAATCAATTCCATGATTTTTGTTAAGAAAATTATCTTTTCGATCGTTTACTAATAGAAGTTATTTATGTGAGTATTTATTTATGTTGTTTTGCATGTTAAAAAAAATAAATAAATAACACTGAATAAGCCTGCTTGCTATCTATTAAAATGGTTATGTCAAAGATTTTGATATGCTAAAATTAGCCTTTCTCTTCTATTGTTAGGTTAAATTTCCTAAATTTAAATAAATTATTTTAAACTGGGATTACATTTTTTACACTATATTATTATATAAGTTAAATATCAAAATTTCTCAAAGTTTTTTGATAACAAAAATAGAAATGAGTAAAAATTGCAAATAAAATTATTTCAAAAAAAAAAAAAGAAATAAACAATTGAAATTTTAAAACGTTTACTAGACGATTTCTTTAATGAATTGTTTAAATTTTAGTAGTTTTTGATCGACTTGAAATTTAGCCAAAAAAGATCATTTTTTCTTTTTGCATCATACAAAGTATTTCTCTCTTTCTCTCCTTCTCTTCTATCATTAAAAAAAAAATGGTTAAATGCCTTTCTTAGGTTGAAGGTCATTTGTGTATGGTACTGTTGGATGGTACAGAGGGATGTGATTTTTTGAGGGAATACAGAGGAATCTTTTGTACGGTTCTTTTTGTCCAAATTTATTCATTCCGAATGAAATTTTCTGAATTCTTCTCTAACAATTATTATTGCCATTAAATTTCAAAAAGAAAAAAAAAAAAGAAATTATGCTCAATTTTTCATACAAATATTTTGTTTGTTTGTAGTAAAATGTTTGTATGAAAAATTGAAGAAATTTGAATGGGGTATGAAACATGAAATGATTATATGAAATTGAATTTCATATAAATATTTCATGTTTCAATTTCTGTTTCAATTTCTTAAAATATATGATTATACATTTTTTTCAAAATCATATATAGATTTCATATCCAGTACTTCAATTTAATTTCATTTCTTCCTCTAATGCATTACTTTTAGAAGGGTAGACGATTAAGTACAGTTGAATTTTGAAATTGTAACATTTAATTTTTGCTTTCTTCAATCGAAAAAATCGTAATAACTAATAAAAAGTATATAATAAATTAAATATCTTTCTATGCCTTTCCTTTTTCCTTTCTTTGTTATGAAGAAAAGAAAATTTAATTTGTCATTTTATTATTGAAATTATTGAATTTGCAGCATTGTGTTTATCTTTCATATGAAATACTGAATTTGTTTTATCTCCTTTTCTATCGTTTTCTTCTATCAAAATATTTGAAAAGATTTAACTTTTGAAGAAATAAATATGCAAAATTTTAATTTCATATAAATTTGAGAATTTCTTTTAATTAAAAAAATATCCATGGCTGAATATATCCTATTAATGTATATTTGTATTGCATGAAAAATTTTAGTAATAAATTTATGATATGACTGTAAGTTTCCCAATAATTGAGATTTTTTAAATTGTTAATTTTAATTCAGTTAATTAACTAAAATGTTTTTTTTTTGTTTCTTGTATTTCACTAAACGCGATTGATCTTAAATGACTCAAAAAAACTAAAAATGAAAAGCTGTCAGAAATGAAATTTGTTCAAAATATTTCAGTAATTTTCAATTCCGATAGGAAATTTCCATGATGTGGTCACAGATGTCAATGTTGGTGCTAACTGCGGCAACACTAAAAGCATTCACGGTGCTGCCGTATGTACAAATTGATTTTGTTCACTATTTCAGACTAGCACAATGTGATGCAAAATGTGCAGAAAAGGTAATTCACTTTCAAACTAAGCTAATTAATGGATGGAGTACTAATAGTAATAATAGTAATTAATAATGATATTTTAATAATGGCTTATCATCATTTTTTAATGAAATCGTTTCATATGAAAAATGAAAAATTGATTCAAAAAAAAATAAAGAATAAGGAAAAGTGTTCCATTTTTTGAAAGTTAATTTTTTCAAATTTAGTTTTTAGGATGTTGCGGAAAGAGAAGTTTCAATAAAAATGTTGAAAAATGGAAAAATGAAGTAAAATTAATCGCCATGGAATAATTTGTTGAAAAGCTTAAAGCACTTTTCTTTAAAGTTAAAAGAAAAACAAAATTACTGATTTTTTCAATGATATGCTAATTTTTTCTCAAAGAAGAAGTAGTTTTTTCCAGTTTTTTTCTCGCATAAAAATAAAATTCACTTCAAAATAAACTATTGGATGAAATCATTTGAAAGGAAGGAAATGAAATTGCAAAAGTAGAATTTGATCGGAATTCATTTTTACCGCATCAACAAAATGAAATTCATATTGTCGAATTGTTTCTTATAATATATTTTTTGATAATTAAAATTATGAATTGAATTAATTGAAGCAATATTAATTGTTTTCTCAAAATAATTCAGATTCGTATCTAAAAGTAATTTTGTGCTGGGGCCAAGATTTTATTGTTGTTGAATAATTAAATTTTGAAGAAAATTTGATAAGGATGCAATGAAAGAAAAATGTTTTATGCATTTTGCGAGCAAACTAATTCATTTCAAATATTTTCCAATCCATTTCTTTGAATTTTATTTTATTCTTTTGTGTTTAATTAAATTATTTTTGTTATGATTTAGTTTAGCTTGCAAATTATTCCTCAAATATGCAAATTTTTCAGTATTCGAAATCGATCAAACGGCGTTTAAATGATGGAACATTTATTAAGTATTACGGAAATGATGGGGAACACTATAAACTTGTTTGTTACCTTACAATTATTACTTTTTTATCTTTTTTAAAATTCAAAACAAAAAATTGTTGAAAAAATGAAGATAATTTCAAAATAATGAACGATTAATTTCTTTTTTTTTTACGATTACTTATACGTTTTTGACGGAAAATACTCATTGTGTTTTTTTTTCGTTCTTTGAATAAAAACAATAGTGGGAAAAAATGAATTTTTTAAATGTGTTAAGGAGAAAAAAATTTAAGCATACTGTCATTCAACAGCAATTTTTACGATGTGAAAATATTTCGTACAACTGAAAGTCAATAATAAAAAAAGGGGGGAAAAAAAGATTAATTGCTATTAATTTTTCCTTTTTTTTTCTCAAATGTTACTGTTATTTTAACCGCAATTTTAATTCTTCAATGATTATAAATCATTTCAAATTTTTATGTATTATGATAATATTGAATAATTTATTATATAATTTGAAAGTTTAGCTGAATATTTCAAAATTAACAATTGAAAATTTTAACAAATTTGTTAAAATAACGGAAATATTTATATAACTATAAAACAGAAAACTGAAATTTTGCATATAAAATCATTAAAATTTTGTGGTATATTACAGTGCGTAACTGGTTGTAATCGACGAATAACTGCAAGACGAGAAAGAAATGGTACGACAAAATATGCGCTAATGACAGGAATGCAATTTTGGATGGATACAAATGCGTATGCAAGTAAAATTTGAAAATTAGTGAAAAAAATAAGCAAAACTTTAAAAAAATTAAAAAGTTTTAAAGAAGACTTGGTTTCAAAAGCAAATTTATTGAACCATTTTTTTTTTCAGCGATAAATTCCCAAATTTATTTGCACAAATTCAATTCAATTTTTTCGAATAATTGACCTTAGTAATGTTCGCAATTGAATAATTTCATTTGATTTTGCGAAAATTGGTTGTAAAAAAAAACAAAAACAAAAATAAAAAGCATTTTAATAGCTTATAAGATAAAATCGTAGAATTTAGAAAATTAAAATTAAATCAGTTTAGTGAATCTTCAACATTAGCAGGGGAATTTATAATTTTTAAGGTTAATTTACGGAATTTTTTATAATTTGAAAAAAAGTGTTGAGCTTAAAATGTTAACAATATTTCAGGTCGGACTGAGTATTCACCTATTAAAAGTGTTCAGTTAGGCTGTATGAATGTTGTAACATCACATGAGCCAAATGATTTTGAGGACACAGTCGATGGCTTAGTTTTTGTGAACATTAACGAAACAGTGAAATATCCGATTCGATACATTGTCCAATGGAAGCAACGAACATACGATGGTAGTCCGACCGAAGAAAATGGTTGGATTACTGCTTCGGTTTGTTTCAATTCATAAAATTTTGTCAAATAAAAATGAAATTTTTATTTTCATCGAATAATAATAATGATAATAAAATAATAATTGTGATAGCAATAATATAACTAGTAATAATATTAATAGAAATTGTTGTTATTAGTGACAATAATTATAGTAATTATAGTAATAAAATAATTATAACAGTAGTAATAATGATAAAAATAGTAAAAATAGTGATAACAATGATAGTAATAATTAGTAATGAGAATAGCAATAATAAAAAATTACTGTTGTATACTGATTCGTTTTCATTTAATTTTTATAAATTACAAAACAATTTTAAATTTAACTTTACAAATTATTTCATGAAATTTTTTATTTTCTTTTGAAAAGAAAGTTATAAATCTGAAAAAAAAATATTGCAAATAACAAAAAAAAAAAGCAATTCAGCTTTTCAGATTGAATCAGAGCCAATATTTAAAGTTGAGGGTATGGTACCAGTAATGCAATATCGATTTATGGTAACTGCTGTTGGTCCCGGTGGTCGTCTTGGTGGCCCAATAATGAGCAATTGGGCACAGTCATTAACAGCTGATGAAAGATCGCATGCACCTGGTAGGTAACAAAAATTTCGAAATAACAATTTGTTTCATTTTTGCTAGTAAAGAATGATTGTGAATATTTTAGGAGGAGTTAATGCTGAAAAAAATTTGAAATATAAATTTTAATTCAAGTAAAAATTTTCATTATTTAAAAAATAAAAATTAACTTTCCTTATTACTTATTATTTGGAAAAAATTAGGGTGTGCAAAAAATTAGAATGACAAAAAGGAAAGAAAGAAAATGGAACAAAACAGAGAATGCATTTGTAATTTACTTTGAAATTTGCCAGAAATAATTCCAATTTCACTTTTTCCCATATTTTTTTCTTAAAATTAAAAAATGAAATTTGTTAAAAAAAGAATTCTTGTTAATCGATCTTTCTATTTGCTATTTGATGCTCTTTTTTTTTATTTTGCTTGCCATTATTCACTCATTGATCATTTACCTTCAGAATATATGAAATAAAATAAGATGAAATGAAATTGAAAAAAAGTGATTCATTGCATTTTACACTCGTATTTTGTTAGTTACATTTTTTTTCTTTGAAATTTTAGCTATTTTAAAATTATTTTTTTCAGAAACCAAAAATTTTCAAATTTTTTGTTTGAAATATTTTGCACATTTTGCAGCAATACTTATTTAGTATTTCATTTATTATATTTCCGTTTTTTCCTTTTTTCGTATTCTTTTTAAAAATATTGTAAATTGCTGTATGAATAAAAAATCGTAGGGAATTTCAAATGACTAAATTTAAAAAGTAAATAAATTTAAAAAGTAATTAAGAAAAAAATTTTTTTTTTTGCAGTTGGGCCAATGATGATTTCAACACAATACAATAACGAGAATGGTTTATGCGCATTAGTAAAATGGTACCATTCACCGTATCAACGTGAATCATCGTCGGGAATTTTAGATGATAGCATTTCACTGTTTGGTAGCTGTCATTACAGTATTACCATACTTAATGAAACTTCACAAGAAACTGTATTATTTACATTGGTTAGTTTAAAATATTACTATTCTGAGAATTAGAAAAAAAATGTATCTTTCAATTGTTGACTTGGAATTGAAAACTTTTTTGAAGCAATAAAAAATATTTGTACGATCCTGAAAAAATGATTCTACATATTTGAAATTATAAAAAAATTTCAAGTCCTTTAAATTTTTTCATTCCAATTTTCATTTTCAAAATAAACTTTTTCATATAAATTATTTGATGAAAATGAGATTTTAAATTAAAATAATCTGTATTACTAATAAATTTCAGTCATCAATTTTTTCCGAAAATTTTTCAATTTCATGATTCATTATCATTTTATCTCATTATTCCTGTCATATGCAAATATATAATTGGAAATTCATTCTTTATTTATTAAGAATTTAATACATATTTAGATATTTTTCACTTCTTATACAATTGCAAAGCTCTTTTTAGGATAATGGGAATGGCATTTTGCTACCAAATTTGCAATTTTCAACTGAATATTCGATAGCTGTTCGATCGATCTCATCAGAATTGATAGATTCATCGTTGTCACATCAAAAGAATGTGTCACATGCAGATGACACAAATTTCATATTGGAACAAAGATTCATGACACCACCATGTAATGAAATATTTGGTACAGGAAGTCTCGAATGTGGTAAGTGAAATAATTAATTGACAATCTGCATTAATTAATCATCTTTTATTTCCTGAAACAATAATTTATAATTTTATTTCATTTCTTTTTAGCACCTGAACCAGTTAAAAATTTGGAAGCAGTGGTAAATTCTAATGGAACAGTGAAAATTCAATGGATACCATCAAGTGAACCAAATGCTATTTTAGTTTATCAGTTACTTTATCAGTCGCTAACAAATCATTATGATTGCGATAAAGATTCATCAAGCATTTACATCAATGCGGTTCGTTATTTTGAACTGCTATGCATATGATCGATAAGCCAAAACTGTATGAGGGAAGAAAAAAATTGAAAATTTCATACGGATAATTTGAAACTTAAAAGTGGAGCATCTATGTTTGTGCATTTGTGATTTTTTATATGTAACAAATTTTTACATCTAACAAAAATTTGAATGAAAATTTATGATCTTATATGCAATAAAACTTCTGCTAATAATTAAATTAGAATTAAATAATTAGATTAAAAATTTGGATGAAAATTTATGATTTAATATACAATAAAACTTTTGTGAAGAATAATTAGATTATAATATTTTTAAAGCAGTAATTGTGTTACAGTAATTCATGTATGTTAGTGCAAATGTTCAAATATTTTGTATTACAATTCAAAATTATTGCATATTAAATTGTTTGAAATTACAGTAAACGAAAATTTTTTGTAGCTAACAAATATCTGTAATACTGCAACAACAGTATACCTTAGCAACAAATTTCGTATTTTTTAAGGGGTCAACAACAGCAACAGTACAATTACATGGTCGAACACATTGCGAATATTCGATCAAATTGATCAATTATGATCTAATTGGACGTGAAGCTAGCACTGAAATAATCATTTGGTATCGACCAGATATTCGTGTATTTAATTCCAATTTAATTTATATTTATCCTATTTTAGTGTTAAT